TTCTAAACCTCAACCAAAAGTGAGGTCAACAGTGTATTAATTCCCCTAGTTGAAATAACCATCCTTTGATGACCCAGCTACTAGTTTTCACTATAAAGTAATCAAAATTCCTTTATCGAGAGTATTCTCGAGTATCACCCAAAATGTAATTAACAAAAAGGTTATATTTCTTTTAAAGTACTCTTGACCCGAGAAAAAGAAGTGTTCTTTTTTATTCTCTGATTTTGGTGGCTTACATAGGGAGCTTTTTTGTGGATATTGGCTTCAAGGTATTTTGATTTGATCTCATTCAAACATATATTTCTGATCTATCACATGAGGATTTCTCTTATATAAACCCTTAATATTTCTTTTTAATTGTTTATTTGTCTTTTTATCGTATATCCCTTCCCTTCGGTCCCTCTCCTCTTTAGATCAAGTATACGATCTTACGGGGGATTTGTTCGACTGAGGGAATCATACAATGATATTAAATAAATAATTTGGCGACCCTAAGGCTAAGAAGAACCATAAAATAGAAGTCAATAAAAAATTTTCTCCATAATTTGTTCCATTATCCCAATATTCATCATGCTTAAAATAAAATGAATAATAACAAACTTTTTAGTAAAAGGATGATTAAAAGGATCAATTTCTCTTTATAAGGACTCTTATTAATACCCCTCATTCTAATTCTTCCTTCAATTACTATCTAATTTGAGGTTGATTGTGTTAACTTACATGAGGAATTGGATAATTAATGGGGTACTTAACCTCTTATATAAGATTGAAAAGTGAGAAGTCAATCCATGGGTTCTTTCAAGTTCTTAGATCATATTAGGAAGAATCGAAGAAGGAGATATGAGTGGATAATTACCATTAGATGTAAAGAGAATCTAAAGGAGAAACTACTATGGATGTTGAGCATTTTCAAGTTTCCCATCATCCTAATATTCTCACAAGGAAAGTAACCAAATTCATTGTCAAATTGGGTGTGCTAAGAAACCTTTATGGACATCATTCTCTTAAATAACACCTCCAAAATTGTATGCAAGATACCTATAAAAATCCAAGGTTTGTGTAAAAAAAAAAAACTAAAGATAAATTCTTAATGTTATCTATCAATCACTATGCTCAAGCATAATAAAAGTAATAATTGATTGTGTACTACATCATTATCATTGCATTGATATTTTAATTTCCAAAACAAATTATCACTTTACATCACTAGTGAGAACGTTATGATATCAACAAGTGATATTTATTCTTAATAATAACATAAATTTATTTTCTTACAAGTCATAATGGTTAATTCCCTCCAATTCTCATATCACACTTATTTATGTATTCTTGTGGTAATGACCTATGTGTTATGGGAGCCATGTTTACTTATTTTTAACTACTTTAAGCTAATTTAGATGATTTAAAGTTGTATTACTCTAACTCTTTATTTTATCCATTGATGGCTCTATAAATATCGCTATCGAACCCTCTCAGAGTTTCATGGAATTGCATGAAACTGCCAACAACTTATAATGTCATTCATTATTATTTTGAGAGTTAACATTATTATGTTTGACAAAGCCTTTTGACATAGTTACTTAAACTAAGTGTTGGTATCTTGTTGTCAAACTTGATGGTCTTCATAGCTTGCCCTAGAATTGGGTTTGTAAGAATATTACAATCATATTTTTTTCTCTAATGTGCTTAAACTTGCACTTATGATTATAACATATTATTTTAGATCATATAACGTATATTGGTGGTCAATTAATTTTCTATGAATTAGTAACAACTTTTTTTCTTCATAAACATCATTCATGTGATCACCTCCATCCTCTTATTCTTCATTTTTAATTTGCCTCATAGAGACTTATCTTCCTTTTTTGCTTTCTTATCTTCATAGCCGAAGAAGATGAATGAGTAGAAAAAAGAGACACTCATAGCTCCTTTATAAGCTTAATAGTGAATTCTAATTCAACCATTTTTTAAAGCATTTATAGATCCCTTATTTTACAAGCTATCCCTCAATGACCTCTTTTTATTAGTGGGATATACATTAAGGCTTAAAACTTATATAACACACACATTGACCTCCATTAGTAATAGTTATAAGAGGAATGATATCTACAACCTTTGATAGAACCTTCCATTCTTCCGCTTTGTCAACCTTTGAAAGAAACTCGTCACTTACAACTTATTGTCTTCCACATAATCTCCTTCAAAAACTGTTATAATAAAAGTAGGATCAACACTAACAATTTAAATATTCAAAAAGTTAGACATCAATCTTTTAGGGGTTTGTCATTAACTCCATTATATCTACCATACAAAAATATCTAATCATCATTTCAAAATCAACTGACTCTACTTTCATTATGATCTTAAAAGCTTACACACAATCTGGGGTCATCATATTAGGCAGAAGCAAGATCACTAAAGATGCTATGAAAACTACATTATTACCAACCTTATTCTCCTCTGACTTTTGTTATTTCAATGGCTAAAAGGAGTGAAAGCTTCTATTGTTTCATGTTGTTCACAACCAAGAACCAAAATACCTTATACAAAAGTTTGAGAATTAATGATAATATTGCACATTAAAATCATATTTAATGTATATCACTTCAAAAATAGATAAAAGTGTTATCCTTTAAAATTGATGCCACATGGATAGCAACCAATTTAGTTTTCACTAAACTAATCCTAACCTCTTTGTAGGATACACCGCAAAAGATTTCTTAGGAAATCACTCAATTGCATGAAACTGCCAACAACTTATAATGTAATTCATTATTATTTTGAGAGTTAACATTATTATGTTTGACAAAGCCTTTTGACATAGTTACTTAAACTAAGTGTTGGTATCTTGTTGTCAAACTTGATGGTCTTCATAGCTTGCCCTAGAATTGGGTTTGTAAGAATATTACAATCATATTTTTTTCTCTAATGTGCTTAAACTTGCACTTATGATTATAACATATTATTTTAGATCATATAACGTATATTGGTGGTCAATTAATTTTCTATGAATTAGTAACAACTTTTTTTCTTCATAAACATCATTCATGTGATCACCTCCATCCTCTTATTCTTCATTTTTAATTTGCCTCATAGAGACTTATCTTCCTTTTTTGCTTTCTTATCTTCATAGCCGAAGAAGATGAATGAGTAGAAAAAAGAGACACTCATAGCTCCTTTATAAGCTTAATAGTGAATTCTAATTCAACCATTTTTTAAAGCATTTATAGATCCCTTATTTTACAAGCTATCCCTCAATGACCTCTTTTTATTAGTGGGATATACATTAAGGCTTAAAACTTATATAACACACACATCGACCTCCATTAGTAATAGTTATAAGAGGAATGATATCTACAACCTTTGATAGAACCTCCCATTCTTCTGCTTTGTCAACCTTTGAAAGAAACTCGTCACTTACAACTTATTGTCTTCCACATAATCTCCTTCAAAAACTGTTATAATAAAAGTAGGATCAACACTAACAATTTAAATATTCAAAAAGTTAGACATCAATCTTTTAGGGGTTTGTCATTAACTCCATTATATCTACCATACAAAAATATCTAATCATCATTTCAAAATCAACTGACTCTACTTTCATTATGATCTTAAAAGCTTACACACAATCTGGGGTCATCATATTAGGCAGAAGCAAGATCACTAAAGATGCTATGAAAACTACATTATTACCAACCTTATTCACCTCCCACTTTTGTTATTTCAATGGCTAAAAGGAGTGAAAGCTTCTATTGTTTCATGTTGTTCACAACCAAGAACCAAAATACCTTATACAAAAGTTTGAGAATTAATGATAATATTGCACATTAAAATCATATTTAATGTATATCACTTCAAAAATAGATAAAAGTGTTATCCTTTAAAATTGATGCCACATGGATAGCAACCAATTTAGTTTTCACTAAACTAATCCTAACCTCTTTGTAGGATACACCGCAAAAGATTTCTTGGGAAATCACTCATAAATCTCTTTCAATAAGTGTTCTTATGAGTGATTTTTTGTCAATCTTCTCTCCAAAATATTATGCTAAAAATTCTAAATTCTAAATTCCATGAAAATTAAAATTCCACTTGAGATTATACATATTTTAGGGAACACTTTGATACTCTTCTCCAAGGCCATCGAATTAGAATTAATGACATATCCCATACATTGTATTATCAAATTTTAAAATTATTTATGGAGATCAAGGTGATCCATCAATTAACTTGCTTTATGAAACATATTTGTTAGAGAATCCCAACTTTTAAGGTCATGTCATACTCTACATGAAAATAATGATTTTTGACAAAAATATACGTCGAGCAATCATTAAGAATTGCCAAAAACTTTTTTATTTTAATGAATTCCAAACAAGTTTATGCTACCTAGAAAAGACCCTTATGAAAAGGTTTATGCTTAAAATTATCTTTAAAAATGCTCTTATAAATTTTTAATTAAAATTTTACTTGTAGTAGAAAGATGAGTATTTACATGCTTTTCACTATTTGTTTCTTTTAAGTTCCCGGTATGCTACCTACAACTTTTAAGTTAGGAATGCTTTTCACTATTTGTTTCTTGGATTCTTTATAAAGCTCCAAATCTTCGTCACAAAAATGATTTCGTAATTTAAAAAATAAGAAAAATATTTTTAATTACTTTATTTAAATTAAATCATCCAATTCTAATTTTAGAACTTATAGTATAAGTATAACTAAATTCGTTATAGCATTACGACAAAACTTTGATATGGGACATTTACATAAGAGCCGCCCAATTTTTATGTATTTACATATCTAATATTTAATTTTTATTTGATGATGATTGCATCAAATTATCGAAGATGTATCAAATTCACAATAATTTGACCGTGACACTCATAAATGCATCGATATGGAATTTAAAGATTTAGTCGATAATTTGATTATCAGTTCCCTTTCTATCAATAACCACAAGATCAAATTCTTGCATCAAAAGTATCCATCTAATCAACCTTGGTTTGACATCCTTCTTTTGCATTAGATATTTAATAGCAGAGTGATCAGTGTGCACAACACATTTAGCTCCAATTAAGTAAGATCTAAATTTGTCCAAAGCATACA